GTGTGTGTGTGTGTGTGTGTGTGTGTGTGTGTGTGTGTGTGTAAGATCTGTCAATATTTTGGTTTACTGTGTTTTGGGACCTTTTAGTTAAGCTTATTCAGTATCAGGGTATTAATTTAAAAAGCATGCTATACTCAAAATGTGGGTCAACATTCAAGCTGTTGCCAATAAGCCACAATGGTACTTTAGAGAGAACCTTTTTGAACTAGATAATGTGCAGGCAGCCTTATGAATATGTGCAAATCTGTCAAATTCAACTTTTTGTTCTACTTTACAGGAGAGTGTAAATCAAGAGGACCGTAGTTTATTTCCCTCCAGCGTGGAAAACCTGGAATGTTCTGGTGACTCTTTGGTGGGTTTGTTGTCATCAGTGAGCAAAAAAAAAAAGTTATTATATAACAATAAAAAAATTCATTCTAGCAGAACATCACAGGTTAGAGCTTTGGCTGAGTGGTTAGGGCAGTTGTCCTCCATTCACAACGTTTGCAGTTTGATTCTCTGCTGTTGAATCACATAATGTTGTGTCTATGGACAAGACACTTATCCCCTATTGCCTCTGATGTGTGTCCCATCAGTGTATGAATTTGATTTTAAGCACTAATTAGTCTCCATAAAATTATCTATCTGGATTATCTTAGTACAGAGACATAGAGTGCTGAATGAATGTTTGTGAATGGGTAAATGAGGACACGGATTGTAGTATAAAAAGCTTTGAGTATTCTGGTTTGATATGAATGTGCTATATAAATATTGTTCATTTACTATTTGTTAACTGCATTTACAAACTATTCAACTGAAAATTAGTGTCATGAGATTGTTATTTAGTGCCATTTATTTATTTGTAATTTAATGGTTCATTGTGCCAATATCAAATTCCATATATCAGTAATTCAGTAATTGTTTTCTTCTTTCAGGTGGGTTTAGGGAGGCAAGTTTTGCAATGCCTACAAAGTAGGTTGGAGCAGTGTTGCCAAAGGCAGCCCTTAGATCTTGACCATATTGAGTTCCTCTGCGTGAACACGTTGACTCTGATCAGTTCTCTTTCTACACACATTACTTTCCCACCACTGGTAGGTTAATTTGTCAGATTTGTGTTTACCTTGTTGAAATTATTTAAGCATATTTATTTGTTATACATTTTAAATTTTTATGTTATTTTGTTCTGCATGAAATTTGCTATACAAAACCTGTATTGCCTTGTTAAATCTAAGATAAAATGTTGTTCTGTAGCTCATAAGAAAGATTTGGGATAAGGGTAATGTTACTCAAATGTTAAAACTGAATAACGGTATTGCATCCAACTGATAAGCTGTATATAAACATTTTTCTTGGTACTTGAAGCACTTCACCAGCTCATCTGCCTCCTCCACTCTGAAATAGAAAGAGAAAGATGTACCGTTGTTGTTGACAGCTCAGCTGGTGAACAGGGGAGGCCCCAAGTTGTATGTCTCCAAAGACCATCTCCAAGAACTTATAAAAATGGACCTCTCGGTTTCTTGTATCTCCAACTTTCTTGGTGTATCCCACAAAAYAGTCTGCCGGAGAATGGAAGAGTGGGGCCTCTCAATAAGAGCCGCATACAGCTCACTGTCAAATGATGAGCTTGACAATTTAGTTTTGGCAATAAAACAGGATTCAAAAGATCTGGGTTAGTTTGTCATGTTAAAAAAAATACTGATAATAATATCCCAGCTATATTTTATGCTGAATAGCTTTCTTGTTTATATGAATAACAATAGATGGATGTCATTATCAGTTGTTAGTCTGATTTCCTCTAATACACTTGCCTTACCATGTGTTTTTTGATAGTCTCATAATTGAATGTCTTTGTAGGCTACAGAATGGTCAAAGGACACCATAGGGTGCAGTGGAACAGAGTGTGGGACTCCATGCSTCGTGTGGACAGTGCTGGAATCCTGGAAAGGATGGCAAATCTTGGCTGTGTAGTTCGACGGACATACAGTGTTCCCAGTCCTCTGTCACTCCTTCACATTGACACCAACCACAAGTTAATTAGGTGAGTTTAAGTTATCTGTCAAAAGGTTTAAATTTAACTCCAATTGCATGTGCAAACCTTTGCTATTTATCTTGCTTATTCAGGGCTCTAGAGTGTGACCAATTTGGTTGCAAATGCGACCTGATTTCATAATGGTACAAATAAAAAAAAATGTCTGGTTGCACTGGTGCAACTACATGTTTGAGGGGGAGGGGGAGCGGTCAACCTCTGAAACTAAAAGTTTCCATGTTCCATAAAAATGAATCCAGTAGTATCAACCATAACAGTCGCCCGCCGACAGTCTCCATCTCTCTCAATAACACTGTGCTCTGCTCCACACCTCGCGCACACACACACACACACACACACACACACACACACACACACACACACACACACACACACACACACACACACACACACACACACACACACACACACACACACACGTTTGTTGTTCTATCCTCATGGGGACTTTGCATTGGCTTCCATTCATTTCCCTGTCATTTCTATAGCCAAACCTCACCTCAAAACCCTAACCTCACCAGGCTGTATGTACCAGGGAAATGGTCAATAATTGTCCCCACCATAAAGCAAAACCATGTACACACACGCGCGCGCACACATGCATAGCAAAACAATCAGTTTTTTTAATCGCACTCTGAAAAACCTTTTGTCTTAACAATGGAGATGAAAAGAAAATGTGGACAGTTGCTCACTCTCAAGTCCATCTTGCTAATTTAACAGTCGAGTTCTGCTCTGTGAGCTGCAGGTCATTTCAGCAGCGTGAGGAAGCTCACCTGTGTGGCAGTCCGCTTTTACACTTAATCAGTTTCACCACAGTTACATTCCAAGTATCTGAAATTAGTTCTTCTGGGTCTCAGAAGGATAAGACTAGACACATTAGATATTTAAGTATAATAAAATAAGATAATAGGGTTCAAGTAATGCTAATGAAATTGCAGGTTTTATGTGTTATTATTTAAGAAAAGCTGCACAACCTTTTAATAAATATCAGTAATATTTCTGATATTAATCAATATTTTCTGTTCATCATTCTGGTTTATCCAAGGCCAAAGATCCATAGGAAAAAACTACAGGAGTTGTCCATCTGAGGGGCAGGTGTCTAAAAGAAATTTAACCATGAAATGTTTAAGACGTTTATCATATGTTTAGCCCTTAAACATTTGCACTTACAATTTTTATAGAATCACTTTAAATACTTTTCAATACGTTATAGGTCTTGTACAGTTCTGGTTCAAAATAAAAAACTTTGTTTACTTGATTGTTAACTAATTATTTGTGAATTTATATTGCATTAATTAATGAACAGTGACCAAAAAAAAAAAACCCTGTAAAATGCTGATGTTAAATGCAACGTGGTTGAAAATTTGGGTGCACCTAACTTTTGTCCTAGTGCACCCAAGAAAAAACGTTAGGCGCACCGGTGCAACCAGTGCAAAAAGTTAGTCTAGAGTCCTCTTATTGGAGTTTTTCCTTTTTGTTTTCTTTAAACTTTATGAGAAAAAAAT